TTGTCATTCTGTCTTGCAAAGCAGACTGGAGAAGATGATGCAGATTCTATAGACTGAAGCAGAATTTTTTATAAATCGAATCGTTTTGAATCGAAAATCGGTTTTGAATCGAAAATCGATTTTGAATCGAATTGTGGCCCCAAAAATCGGAATCGAATCGAATCGTGACATAGTAAAAGATTCCCACCCCTAATAAACATGTACTTTAACTGTAAAATAAAGACTGTAAAAATACTGTAGGATGTTCGGTTTTTATCATTTTTAAACTAAAAGTTTAAAAATATATTACACGGACGGGGCCATTTTATTTACATGCTAAGCATTGTGGGAAAATTAAACTCCAACATTGCAATTGCTTTTACATTATAAAGGAATAGGAATTGCAATTGAATATTTTAGAAGTCTTGTTACTTACGGGAGATAAACCATTCCAGAGTGGAGCTTAGCTCCTTCCCAGAAGCAGTCCAAAGGCGTGATAATGAGGCAGGGATGAAGCTTTTCTATTATCTAAGTGGAAAGGCACAAAGAAGATTTTACACAAACTGACAGCAGTTGCATACACAAAGTTCTGCTAATGTTTTTATTTGATCCAGAGATTAGATGTCAGTGTGTGTCGATGAGTCGTTTGCATCTCACCTGATTCATGATAGGAGTTTCTGTAACTAATTCTCCTGATTTGTAGCATAAATGTTCCAATTTCCATTGTCTGTAAAAAAAAAGTGTTGTTTTATCACTGTTGCAAAAACCTCTGTTATAATAATGCTAATGACTGCAGATAACCTGAACAAAAGACATGTCATATAAAACAGCTTTCTGGACTGAAGAAAAATTAAACTATTATAGTAACTTTATATAATAGTTCAACCTTTGTATGACCTGAAGTAAAATCTGTTGTTTCAGTATGAACAAACAGTGGGAGAGACAAGAACAGGTTACCTGTTATAAAGGTAAACATGAACTCTGCTGGCTCTGAGAGCGGACTCCAGATGCTGGAGAAGTGCTTCCACTGTTAGAACACTGGCTCCGTCCTCCCGCGGCGTCTGGATCATCAACTGAGGGATAAACATGGCCTCCTCGCCCATCTTCTGTCGGGTGTACCTCAGCTCATGATTCACACGCCCTCCAACTGGACAAACAAGAAGTTGCACAATTAAATCCTTGGTGCAAAGATCCAAACACACAATTAACGTGTTATTATACTGTAATAAATTCATGTTATCATTTTATACTAGGGCTGTGAAATTAATCGAGGTAACTCATATTGATTAATTTTAGTGCTGGGCATAGATGAAAAATTTTAATCATTATTAGTTTTTAATTTTTAATTTTTTTTACAGTGACTTTACTATGGCTGAATATGTAGATTTGTATATTGCAATGCACTCAGTGCATGC